CTACATTTTGTCTCCATTATTGTGTATAGGGAACAACATTTTCATTAAGATCATCAAAATTTATATTTATATGGCCACTATAGAGAAGCAAATTAGATTCGTACATCAAAGGAGAAAATAGTCAAAAACATGTTCAAGTTTCAAAATTAGCAAAAAAAATGCGCATACATGTGGAAGCTGAATTCCATACTGAGTATATTTGTATGTGAATTCGGAGAATAAATTTTGATACTAAAAATATCTATAAGCTCAACGATTAAAAGAAGAGTAGAGCGGAGCAGAATTTATATTGATGTGAATCGAATATACAATGGGATATCGAGTGAGACGTATTACAAGCTGAAAATGTAGTGTTTAGTTCTCGCGTAAGTCAGAAGTTGGCAAAATATGCTCGGACCTCGTCTATTTATAGTTCAATTCAGTTCCTCGATCCAGCTCCACGCATCTAGGACGGTTCCGCATATCTCGAGCACGTTCCCCGTAAATCTCGCTCCTACGACTGTGCTAACCGCCCTGTTGACTCGTTCCTAGCTCGTCAGCTCTGCGTCTATTGACCCAGTGCTCTCAGAGCTGAGTTGGGCCTTTGATCGAATCCTGTCTTTTTTCCTGAGGTTGGGCCGCATGCCCATTTCATATGGTCAAGATGGACTAAACAACATGCTTTGACTTGGGCTTTTAGCCAACAGTTGTCCCCCAGCCCATCAAGTATTAAGTAATAATACTTGATGGGCGGCTACTCATCGTTATCTTTTCGTATATCCAGCGTATATATCGCAAATGAATATACGCGGTGATTTTACTTCAACGGCCCAGATCTTGAATCGACGATCACGATCCGATCAATGAGGGTGAGAGGGGGAGGTGAAAGATCTTCGCCGTTTCAACGGTTGGATCTACTGGGTCGAATAAAACGGCTTATCACACGACTCCCTAACTTCATTTGCTCAGACTCGAATTTCAAGGTAAGAAAAAGAACTCCTTCTCTCCTTTAATTTTGAACTTTCGTGGTTAACCTGATTTTCTTTACAAGAACCTCGGTTTTCACTACTTGAACCTCAGATATGACTTTACTTGCTCGCTAGACACCTCAAAATTCCTTTTCCTTGTTTTCCTTTAACCTTTGTTTCTCACCTCTGCTTCGTCTCTTTACCAATTCAATGAGTTTCGCCAGACCCTGTTCTCGATTAGCGCGCCACCCCCGGTCGTCTATATCCTCCCAAGATTTGTCCGATCTCCAGGAAGACCTGGGGTTTTCGGATGAGGTAAAGTTATCGCCAGAGATCGTCAGGCCCGGGTGGTGCTGTGTGCATCTGGGCTATTTCTCTGCATAGGGGTTCACGTTTTTGATTCCCTTTTTTCTTATCCGTATTCTGAGGGTTCCAGAGCTCGCCTTTCCTCAGATGAATCCCAATTCCTCCGCCACGCCATCGGTTCTTTCGTTCGATGCTATGAGGACGGCTGGAACATGTCCACCTCGGACTTCCTTGACCTATACACGGCCAAGAGGAATTCGAGGTACCGTGGCCATTTCTATATGTCGAACCTGGCTGGGTGGCAGGTAGTCACTGGGACTACTCACATCAAGGACACAAACTGGCAGGGATAATATTTTTTCTTTAAAATATCTCCTGCCTCTGTGTCCATGTTGATGAGTTCAACTCCCACCCAACTCGTTTTGCTAGCTCTGTTGGTTAGGATTTCCTGTTTGAATATTTGCTATGATGCTCGAGTTTTATCTCTTCCTAACCGCTTTCTCTTTCTCTTTTTGACAGACAATCCGAAGGAGACAGAGTTGACCGATGCAATATCATCTCGGATAGCCTGGCTGTGTAATCGACCTATCCATTGGAACTCGTTTTCCCTCGATAGAATAAAGGCAGCATAAGTGTTGTTCGAACATGTCAGAGCCTCTAAGCCAGAAACGCTCCTAGCTCTCGACCTAGGTCCCTATCCTCTCACCGCTGTTCCTCCTCCGGCTCGTTCTCTCACCACTAAGAGAAGGAAAAGCACCTCCTCTAACGCCTGAGACCAGCGGCTAGAGGCGGTCGGCCTAGAACGACACAACCCGGACGCAACGGGACGGTCAATCTTTAGTTTTTTTAGAACAAATCCAATACTTAGGCTCGACTATCCCGGAGCGTCCTTCCTGTCCAACACTTTTCGAGGCTTGCCAACCCGGATTATGTTGGACGGTTGGTTCGGTCCGGACTAGATCATGGATCATTATCAGTTGATAAAAATTTTCAAACACTTGTTTTATTACTTAGCTTATACTTAGGCAAAATTCGATTTTTACAAGCATATAGGGTTCGGATCCGCAGTTCAAAGGCAATATGATATACCCTATATTTTACCACTTTTACTATCTATTTTACTATGGTTTTTACATATATTAATAAAGCCTTTCGACCAAAAGAGGTAGTTTTCTCGTATTTGTAGATTTTAAGGTCTTAACAGGTTTTATCATCAAAATGATGTAAAATAGAGCAAAAGGAGTGTTATCTATGATGCAGCTACTCATTCAAGTCAAAGGAACCAAACCAAGTCATTTTATCTTGAAGATAATGCATATTCTCCAACTAGACAGAACATATATGCCAAAAGTTCGCTGATGAACGGAGGATCAAATCAATTGGGAATTTAATGAAACTTGGTATGGAGATAACCCTTTGAGTTAGATTTCCAATGGAATGAAATTTAATCAATTGGAGCTGTACTTTAGAAGATAAACTGGAAACACTGAGGACATGTCAAACTGCCTTCGAAGTGAAGTGAGTGCACAAGGAAGCCAAGCACCAGGCCGCCCATGGGCCGATGATCTAGACCTTTGCCGACCTTCTAGAAGCACCAAGGAAGCCTCAAATACCGGTCACAAAGCCCGACCGTTATTGTGACCGGTATTACCTCAGTTTCGACTAAAAAGATGATTTTGCCCGAAGAAGGTCTAGCCGACTTAAGCCTCCTTAAACCCCTATATATACTTGCTTTTAGCCTCTCTAGGAACTTAAAAAGCCAGCCATAACAGCCTAAATCAATATCTAAACATGTACTTCATTTTTCTCTTGTTCTTAATGCATATTTGATTCTAAAAGCCTTTAAGGATAGATTGACTTTGCCCTATTGCGAAGAGATGAGATCTAACTCCTTACGCTTTGTAGATCAACGATTTATCTTTATGTTTATGTGCTTTACTCTTGCTGCTACATGTTGCAAAACATGTTAGAGTATTTGCTTTGATTTGATTTCTATGCATCTTCTTAATTCTATGCTTTTACATATTTAATCGATTAGAGTTGCATTCTAGAATTG